TTTTCCAGATAAAATCACCAAAAACACTGTAATAATACGAAATGTTACGATTGTATGCTTGGATGCTACCGCGGAGGCTGGCTGGTAAACAATACCACCGGCGGAACATGTAAGGCTGGCTAAGGCGCACATTGGACGCGTCTCGGACGAACAGCAGTGAGCGGGTTTTTGAGCGGTATGCGAGGCAAAATTTTTGCGATTAAAGTGAGCGGTATGCGGAATAAACGGTATGTGATGCCAACGGTATGCGGGGGTCCACTGTATATGAAAATAACCGGTTTCCCTGAATTTTTTTTTTTTTTTTTTTCAACAAGTCGGCCGTCTCCCACCGAGGCAGGGTGACCCAAAAAAGAAAGAAAATCCCCAAAAAGAAAAATACTTTCATCATCATTCAACACTTTCACCACACTCGCACATTATCACTGTTTTTGCAGAGGTGCTCAGAATACAACAGTCTAGAAGCATACACATATAAAGATACACAACATATCCCTCCAAACTGCCAATATCCCAAACCCCTCCTTTAAAGTGCATGCATTGTACTTCCATTTCCAGGACTCAAGTCCGACTATATGAAAAAAACCCGGGTTTCCCTGAATCCCTTCACTAAATATTACCCTGCTCACACTCCAACAGATCGTCAGGTCCCAAGTACCATTCGTCTCCATTCACTCCTATCTAACACGCTCATGCACGCTTGCTGGAAGTCCAAGCCCCTCGCCCACAAAACCTCCTTTACCCCCTCTTTCCAACCCTTTCGAGGACGACCCCTACCCCTCTTTCCTTCCCCTATAGATTTATATGCTTTCCATATCATTCTACTTTGATCCATTCTCTCTAAATGACCAAACCACCTCAACAACCCTTCTTCTGCCCTCTGACTAATACTTTTATTAACTCCACACCTTCTCCTAATTTCCACACTCCGAATTTTCTGCATAATATTTACACCACACATTGCCCTTAAACAGGACATCTCCACTGCCTCCAACCGTCTCCTCGCTGCTGCATTTACCACCCAAGCTTCACACCCATATAAGAGTGTTGGTACTACTATACTTTCATACATTCCCTTCTTTGCCTCCATAGATAACGTTTTTTGACTCCACATATACCTCAACGCACCACTCACCTTTTTTCCCTCATCAATTCTATGATTAACCTCATCCTTCATAAATCCATCCGCCGACACGTCAACTCCCAAGTATCTGAAAACATTCACTTCTTCCATACTCCTCCTCCCCAATTTGATATCCAATTTTTCTTTATCTAAATCATTTGACACCCTCATCACCTTACTCTTTTCTATGTTCACTTTCAACTTTCTACCTTTACACACATTCCCAAACTCATCCACTAACCTTTGCAATTTTTCTTTAGAATCTCCCATAAGCACAGTATCATCAGCAAAAAGTAACTGTGTCAATTCCCATTTTGAATTTGATTCCCCATAATTTAATCCCACCCCTCTCCCAAACACCCTAGCATTTACTTCCTTAACAACCCCATCTATAAATATATTAAACAACCATGGTGACATTACACATCCCTGTCTAAGACCTACTTTTACCGGGAAATAGTCTCCCTCTCTTCTACACACCCTAACCTGAGCCTCACTATCTTCATAAAAACTCTTTACAGCATTTAATAACTTACCACCTATTCCATATACTTGCAACATCTGCCACATTGCTCCTCTATCCACTCTATCATATGCCTTTTCTAAATCCATAAATGCAATAAAAACTTCCCTACCTTTATCTAAATACTGTTCACATATATGCTTCAATGTAAACACTTGATCTACACATCCCCTACCCACTCTGAAACCTCCTTGCTCATCCGCAATCCTACATTCTGTCTTACCTCTAATTCTTTCAATTATAACCCTACCGTACACTTTTCCTGGTATACTCAGTAAGCTTATTCCTCTATAATTTTTACAGTCTCTTTTGTCCCCTTTCCCTTTATATAAAGGGACTATACATGCTCTCTGCCAATCCCTAGGTACCTTCCCCTCTTTCATACATTTATTAAACAAAAGTACCAGCCACTCCAACACTATATCCCCCCCTGCTTTTAACATTTCTGTCATGATCTCATCAGTACCAGCTGCTTTACCCCCTTTCATTTTACGTAATGCCTCACGTACCTCCCCACACTTACATTCTGCTCTTCTTCACTCCTAAAAGATGGTATACCTCCCTGACCAGTGCATGAAATTACTGCCTCCGTTTCTTCCTTAACATTTAAGAGTTCCTCAAAATATTCTCGCCATCTACCTAATACCTCCATCTCCCCATCTACTAACTCCCCTACTCTGTTTTTAACTGACAAATCCATATTTTCCCTTGGCTTTCTTAACTTGTTTAACTCACTCCAAAATTTTTTCTTATTTTCATTAAATTTCTTGACAGTGCCTCTCCCACTCTATCATCTGCTCTCCTTTTGCACTCTCTCACCACTCTCTTTACCTTTCTTTTACTCTCCATATATTCTGCTCTTCTTATAACACTTCTGCTTTGTAAAAACCTCTCATAAGCTACCTTTTTCTCTTTTATCACACCCTTTACTTCATCATTCCACCAATCACTCCTCTTTCCTCCTGCACCCACCCTCCTATAACCACAAACTTCTGCCCCACATTCTAATACTGCATTTTTAAGACTATTCCAACCCTCTTCAACCCCCCCCCCCCCACTACTCCTCTTTGCACTAGCCCACCTTTCTGCCAATAGTCGCTTATATCTCGCCCAAACTTCCTCCTCCCTTAGTTTATACACTTTCACCTCCCTCTTACTTGTTGCCACCTTCCTCTTTTCCCATCTACCTCTTACTCTAACTGTAGCTACAACTAAATAATGATCCGATATATCAGTTGCCCCTTTGTAAACATGTACATCCTGGAGCCTACCCATCAACCTTTTATCCACCAATACATAATCTAACAAACTACTTTCATTACGTGCTACTTCATACCTTGTATATTTATCCTCTTTTTCATAAAATATGTATTACTTATTACCAAATTTCTTTCTACACATAGCTCAATTAAAGGCTCCCCATTTACATTTACCCCTGGCACCCCAAATTTACCTACTACTCCCTCCATAACATTTTTACCCACTTTAGCATTGAAATCCCCAACCACCATTACTCTCACACTTGATTGAAAACTCCCCACGCGTTCACTCAACATTTCCCAGAATCTCTCTCTCTCCTCTACACTTCTCTCTTCTCCAGGTGCATACATGCTTACTATAACCCACTTTTCACATCCAATCTTTATTTTACTCCACATAATCCTTGAATTTATACATTTATAGTCCCTCTTTTCCTGCCATAGCTTATCCTTCAACATTTATTGCTACTCCTTCTTTAGCTCTAACAAGTTTATACTAACATATATTAAGTTAGCAGTAGAACTAGGCATTAACCCTTAAATTATCCAAACGTAGATCTACCTTCGCATGCATAGCGCTCCAAACATAAATTTATGTTTTTTTTACATGCTTTCAAATGGAGAAAATAAAGGTCAGGGCGCTATGCATGTGAATGAAGATCTACGTTTGGATAGTTTAAAGATTAAAAACAAAAAAAGTAAAATACACACATACTACACCTATTACTTACCTTAAAATATTTGTAGTCTTAATGTAGGGTGAGAGGTGAGTTTTATTTGTAGGAAGTCAAATTTGGGAAGTTTGGTAGCCAGCCAGGGCAGTCCTCCCTGCCCCGCCCCGCCCCGCCCCACCCCACCCCACCCCACCCCACCCCACCCCACCCCACCCCACCCCACCCCACCCACACATAATGTAAACAAACCAGGTGTATGCGTCTGGTTTTCGTCACTTTACATTGTGTACAAGCTGTCTCCATGTTAATACAGTAGAATTAATAAAGAGAAACACTCCCATTCTCATGTAACACTATTTTTAGAAGTAATGATGCTCTGAGTGAAGGTATACAAAAGGAATGATTTTCTAGTTACCCCTAGTAATATTAGTGTACACATTTTCACTGATGTTGGACTACAAGTCACCTGGCTACCACAAGTCCTACAAGTTGCCTGGCTACTACATCTCATATTTGTTAATTTATTCTACTGTGAGGTGTATTTATCATGTTCATATGTTATGTAACATGTTTATTATATAACTTTGAAAAAATATCATAGATGGATTAATGGAAATGTCTATATTAAGGTAATATATGACATTTAATGCACCGAAGAGATTATGTATTATTATTAATATGGTGTCAAGAGTAGAGAGACTCCTAGTGATTTTAATGTGTACCTGCATGCCAGAACAGTGTGTAAGTATATTTAGGTACAGGTACACATAAGTTTAATTATCGGAGCACATATAAAATATGCAGTAACTTTAAAACATTGAAATTTTGGAAAGTTTCCAGACACAATAGAGAGATGTGCTCATGGAGAATATAGACTGGGTGGGGCGCACTGTATTAGAAAGATCAGGAGCTGTATAGCAAGTTTTGGTCATAATTTGAAATCGCTGTATTAGTGAAATGCCGTAAAGCAGGGCCCTACTGTACCTGAAGGCTTTTCATGTGAAACTGATCTCAAAACTAATATTTTAGCAAAAGTTAGTAAATTTGTTTAAAGTTTCCACTAATATTTTAGCAAATGATAATAAATTTGTTTAAAATTTCCACTGATTTAACATAGCTATGCCATGCACACAAGTAGGGCATAAAGAACACTGTTTCTGTAATTGCAATATAGGTCATCCACTTGACTTGAAGCATGCCAGTAAGGTGCTTACAGGCTATTTTTATATGGTGTAGTGTTTTAAATTTTGTTCTTGTATAAAACAAAGCCCAGTATGTAAACATAAGTCCTGATTAATGCAAAGGAGAGTTTTTTGGTTCAAAATTTCATTCAGTTTCAAAGGACTGGGATTAATGTTGATAAGAGACCCATAATTTTTTGTTATATATTCTGTTATGCAATAAGTGTTTTAATAATTTTACAGGAAATAGCTGATGAACTGGACATGCTTTATGTACCTGAAGCTAACATGGACATGTATTATATAAACTCGTATGGCTATGACTTACGACAGTTGGATGACCGCCTTCCAGAATCAACAAAATCCTTTGATGAAAAGAACTTTCACCAAGATCCAACCCACCTCAATGCTGCTGGTTTCCAGTTTCAGATGTTCCGCATTCGTCTGGAGCAATACATTGATACCCTTGCTCATGTACTGAGCACTGGTGAGTAGAGGGTGTATATAATTAAGTTGTGATCGTATTAAATTGAAATGTTATGTTTGGGTAACAGTTTAACTTGCAGTAAGTTATTTGGTCATTTTTACCTCGTCTGTTGGATACTCATTTTTTTTTTGTGCTGGCACCTAAAATTAACAAAAGATTCCAAGTTGTATCTGCTATACTGTGCTTGCAAAATATTTTTCTCTAACATGTTGGAAATTTTCCATTTTTTATTAATATTTTAATGTGCTATTCATTTATTGCTGGTTTTGATTTCTGTGGCAACATTTCTAATGCTTTGAAAGCTTATCCTCCAAATTCTTATTTAATCATGGTCACTAGCTCAGTGTTCTCAAAAAACTTCATAAAGTTTTCCATTTTGTTTTAATTGCTCACCAATAAGAATAATATGGTAAACTAGGTGTCATTGACATAGGCTGGGCAATTAGTGTGGGAGTCTTGTACAATAGCCTACATTAGGTTAGGTAAGGTTTGTCGTGAAACAGGATGTTTCCCGACATGGATCTTTGTCGTACAACAACCTGTAGCTGGAACTTTTGGTCACCTGACTGTGTGTTTGTGCTGGCTTACTGCTCCACCCTTTTAAAAATATGGTTATTTTTATAAGCATTAGGTATGTATATACAGCCTATATTCTGCATATTAATTTGCATCATGGATTTCAATTAAAAGTTGCTTTGTTCAAGTTAGTGAGTTGCAATATACATTACAAGTACAAGAATTTACTTCTATATGCAATTATGACTTGCGTCTTATTTTAAATACTCTTTATGACTGAACTTTTCTTTTTTTAACAGGACAGGGTGTCGTGATGGACAGGAGCGTGTACAGTGACTTTGTTTTTGTAGAAGCCATGAGAAAATTTGGCTTTTTAAGCAAGGCTGGTAAATTCAACATGTTCTTGTTGTGTATAAAGATAAACTTCATGGCCCTTTTTTTTTTTCATATCTTGCCAAAAAAGGATATCTTTTCAAAAAATTACCCCTGTATCTATTTTGTTTTTCAGCTCAAAGTCTGTATTATGAGTGCAAAAAGTCGACTGTGCCAGAGCTGTTGCGACCTCATCTTGTGATATACCTGGACGTGCCGGTTGATATTGTTCTGAAGCAGATCAAAGAAAGAAATCTTCCTCATGAAGTTAACTCAAAAGTGTATTCTCCAGAGTTCCTCTCTTTCATGGAAAATGTGTACAAGAACAAGTTTTTGAAAGAAATGAGGTAAGTAGTATTAATTGTAAAATAAGATATTCCATTATCTTTTTTTATTAATTTATTTTATTAACAAACTGGCCGATTCCCACCAAGGCAGGGTGGCCCGAAAAAGAAAAACTTTCACCATCATTCAGTCCATCACTGTCTTGCCAGAGGGGTGCTTTGCACTACAGTTATAAGACTGCAACATTAACACCCCTCCTTCAGAGTGTAGACACTATACTTCCCATCTCCAAGACTCAAGTCCGGCATGCCGGTTTCCCTGAATCTCTTCATAAATGTTACTTTGCTCACACTCCAACAGCACGTCAAGTATTAAAAACCATTTGTCTCCATTCACTCCTATCAAATACACTCGCACATGCTTGCTGGAAGTCCAAGCCCCTTACACACAAAACCTCCTTTACCCCATCCCTCCAACCTTTCCTAGGCCGACCCCTACCCCGCCTTCCCTCCACTACAGATTGATACACTCTTGAAGTAATTCTGTTTTGTTCCATTCTCTCTACATGTCCAAATCACCTCAACAACCCTTCCTCAGCCCTCTGGACAACAGTTTTGACAATCCCACACCTCCTCCTAACTTCCAAACTGCGAATTCTCTGCATTATATTCACACCACACATTGCTCTCAGACATGACATCTCCACTGCCTCCAGCCTCCTCCTTGCTGCAACATTCATCACCCATGCTTCACACCCATATAAGAGCATTGGTAAAACTATACTCTCATACATTCCCCTCTTTGCTTCCAAGGACAAAGGTCTTTGCCTCCACAGACTCCTAAGTGCACTGCTCACCCTTTTCCCCCCTCATCAATTCTATGATTCACCTCATCTTTTATAAACCCATCTGCTGACACGTCCACTCCCAAATATCTGAATACATTCACCACCTCCATACTCTCTCCCTCCAATCTGATATCCAATCTTTCTTCACCTAATCTTTTTGTTATCCTCATAACCTTACTCTTTCCTGTATTCACCTTTAATTTTCTTCTTTTACATACCCTACCAAATTCATCCACCAACCGCTGCAACTTCTCTTCAGAATCACCCAAGAGCACTCTGTCATCAGCAAAAAGCAACTGTGACAACTCCCACTTTGTGTCATTCTTTATCTTTTAACTCCACGCCTCTTGCCAAGACCCTCACATTTACTTCTCTTATAACCCTATCTATAAATATATTGAACAACCACGGTGACATCACACATCCTTGTCTAAGGCCTACTTTTACTGGGAAATAAACTCCCTCTTTCCTACGTACTCTAACTTGAGCCTCACTATCCTCGTAAAAACTCTTCACTGCTTTCAGTAACCTACCTCCTATACCATACACCTGCAACATCTGCCACATTGCCTCCTATCCACCTTGTCATATGCCTTTTTCAAATCCATAAGTGCCACAAAAACCTCTTGAGCCTTATCTAAATACTGTTCACTTATATGTTTCACTGTAAACACTTGGTCTACACACCCCCTACCTTTTCTAAAGCCTCCTTGTTCATCTGCTATCCTACTCTCTGTCATACTCTTAATTCTTTCAATAATAACTTTACCATACACTTTACCAGGTATACTCAACAGACTTCTTCTTTCTTCTTTCAACATACCAGCCGTATCCCACCGAGGTGGGGTGGCCCAAAAGAAAAAACTAAAGTTTCTCCTTTTAAATTTAGTAATATATACAGGAGAAGGGGTTACTAGCCCCTTGCTCCTGGCATTTTAGTCGCCTCTTACGACACACATGGCTTACAGAGGAAGAATTCTGTTCCACTTCCCCATGGAGATAAGAGGAAATAAACAAGAAGAAGAATTAGAAAGAAAATAGAAGAAAACCCAGAGGGGTGTGTATATAGAAAATAGAAGAAAACCCAGAGGGGTGTGTACATGTATATATATGCTTGTACATGTAAAGTAATGTCACGTAAGTGTAAGTAGAAGTAGCAAGACTTACCTGTAATCTTGCATATTTATGAGACAGACAAAAGACACCAGCAATCCTACAATCATGTAAAACAATTACAGGCTTTCGTTTTACACTCACTTGGCAGGACGGTAGTACCTCCCTGGATGGTTGCTGTCTACCAACCTACTACCTACACTCAACAGACTTATCTCCCTATAATTTTTGCACTCTTTTGTCCCTTTTGCCTTTATGCAAAGAAACTATGCATGCTCTCTGCCAATCCCTAGGTACCTTACCCTCTTCCATACATTTATTAAAAGCACCAACCACTCCAAAACTATATCCCCACCTGCTTCTAACATTTCTATCTTTATCCCATCAATCCCAGCTGCCTTACCCCCTTTCATTTTACCCACTGCCTCACGAACTTCCCCCACACTCACAACTGGCTCTTCCTCACTTCTACAAGATGTTATTCTTCCTTGCCCTATACATGAAATCACAGCTTCCCTATCTTCATCAACATTTAACAATTCCTCAAAATATTCCGTCCATCTTCCCGATACCTCTAACTCTCCATTTAATAACTCTCCTCTCCTATTTTTAACTGACAAATCCATTTGTTCGCTAGGCTTCCTTAACTTGTTAATCTCACTCCAAAACTTTTTCTTATTTTCAACAAAATTTGTTGATAACATCTCACCCACTCTCTCATTTGCTCACTTTATATATTGCTTCACCACTCTCTTAACCTCTCTTTTTTTTCCTCCTTATACTCTTCCCTTCTTGCATCACTTCTGCTTTGTAAAAACTTCTCATATGCTAGCTTTTTCTCCCTTACCACTATCTTTACATCATCATTCCACCAATTGCTCCTCTTCCCTCCCGCACCCGCTTTTCTGTAACCACAAACTTCTGCTGAACACTCTAATACTACATTTTTAAACCTACCCCATACATCGTCGACCCCATTGCTTATGCTCTCACTAGCCCATCTGTCCTCCAATAGTTGTTTATATCTTACCCTAACTGCCTCGTCTTTTAGTTTATAAGCCTTCACCTCTCTTACCTGATGCTTCTATTCTCCTTGTATCCCATCTACCTTTTACCCCCACTGTAGCAACAACTAAAAAGTGATCTGATGTATTTGTGGCCCCTCTATAAACATGTACATCCTGACGTCTACTCAGTAGTCTTTTATCTACCAATACATAATCCAACAAACTACTGTCACATTGCCCTACATCATATCTTGTATACTTCTTTATCCTCTTTTTCTTAAAATATGTATTACCTATAACTAAACCCCTTTCTATACAAAGTTCAATCAAAGGGCTCCCATTATCATTTACACCTGGCACCCCAAACTTACCTGCCTGCACACCCTCTCTAAATGTTTCTCCTACTTTAGCATTCAGGTCCCCTTACAATTTTACTCTCACTTGGTTCAAAGGTTCCTATACATTCACTTATCATCTCCCAAAATCTCTCTCTCCTCTACACTCCTCTCTTCTCCAGGTGCATACATGCTTATTATGACCCACTTTTCACATCCAACCTTTATTTTAATCCACATAATCCTTGAATTTACACATTCATATTCTCTCTTCTCCTTCCATAACTGATCCTTCAACATTATTGCTACCCCTTCCTTAGCTCTAACTCTCTCAGATACTCCTGATTTAATCTCATTTATTTCTTCCCACCTAAACTCCCCTACCCCCTTCAGCTTTGTTTCGCTTAGGGCCAGGACATCCAACTTCTTTTCATTCATAATATCAACAATCATCTCTTTATTGTCATCCACACTTCATCCATGCACATTCAAGCATCCCAATTTTATAAAGTTTTTCTTCTCTTTTTTAGTAAATGTTTACAGGAGAAAGGGTTACTAGCCCATTGCTCCCGGCATTTTAGTCGCCTCATATGACACGCATGGCTTATGGAGTAAAGATTCTTTTCCACTTCCCCATGTACAATAGAAGAAGTAAAGAAGAACAAGAGCTATTAACCTTAATTTTATTTTCTCTTGATTAACTTTCTAACCACTCTAGCTAATTATATTGCTGTTGTCATTGTTTCAGTTAATATAAAAAATTTATGCAGCTTTTGAACAGAATTCTTCCTCCCTGAGCCATGCATGTCGTAAGAGGCGACTAAAATGCCAGGAGCAAGGGGCTAGTAACCCCTTCTCCTGTGTATATTACTAAATGTGAAAGGAGAAACTTTCGTTTTTCCTTTTGGGCCACCCCGCCTCGGTGGGATACAGCCGCTGTGTTGAAGGAAAGAAAGAATATTGTTACTATGGCTGATATTTTCAGTTGCTGCTGTCATAGAGAATGAGTATAGTAAAGTAGGCATAGAGGAGGAAAAAAATGCTGAAACATAATTGTTCTGAATTTTGTGTTGTACAAGTGTGGCAAATGTTTAAGCCAGGATTCCTTAAAACAAATCAAAGTTTAATTATAATTTAGAAGACCTAGGAGAGGCATTGGAAAGTGCTGGTTTCCTTTCTCTGAAAAGAAATTCTGTAGTTGGTAATATAAGTAAACTTGATTTAACAGACTGTAGGATTGCTGGTGTCCTTTTTATGTCTCACGACATGCAAGATTTCAGGTACGTCTTGCTACTTCTACTTACACTTAGGTCACACTACACATACCTGTACAAGCATATATATACACACCCCTCTATGTTTTCTTCTATTTTCTTTCTAGTTCTTATTCTTGTTTATTTCCTCTTATCTCCATGGGGAAGTGGAACAGAATTCTTCCTCCGTAAGCCATGTGTTTTGTAAGAGGCGACTAAAATGCTGGGATTACTAAATTTAAAAAGAGAAACTTTTGTTTTTCTTTTTGGGCCACCCTGCCTTGGTGGGATATGACCAGTTTGTTGAAAAAAAAAATTCTTCATTCTAGGGTGTAGAATTTACATCAACTGGAGAGTCCATGGAAAAATTACGTGAAGTGGACGTTCAGAAGTTTAGAGATAACAGATAATGGCAGTATCATATGTGACCCTGTAGAGTAAGAATTAAATCTAAGCTGGGTTAATTTATTAACTCAAAGGTGATACTATTTAAATTTAATGAATAATGTAAATATTTTGTTTAGTAATATTAGATCATACAACCCATTGGGTAAAAACATTATAAAAAGTAATTGAATTGCTTGTTACTCCTCAGTGTACATTCGGAACTCTTGCTGTATGATTGGTCAGAGAAGGGGGAGCCCGAGATTGTTGTGGAGGACATTGAGCGTATCAACTTTGATTTCGATAAGAATGACCCGAAGATGGCCGACTGGAGAAAAGACGACGAATGGGACTGGTGTGAGACACGTATGAAGTAAGTACAGCTCTCCCTGGCTTGTGTGGGAATATAATTTATTATTGGATGTAAATTCCATGAATAAGAATAAGGTTCCACAGCTCATGTCATGTTTGTAGACTACAGTATTTCAAATTTTTCTTCATAGTAATGCATTTCTATTCTTAGGCTTATGATTGTATAATACTAGGTAGGTGCCTCATGTTCAGTGGACAAATGTTTTACTCTTCTAGAGACCCTTCAAGGAGGGAGGAGAAAGTAATTTGATGCTGGTGACTGGCTCTTGATCCAAAGAATTTGAGCTGTCACCCCATTTCCTTGGATAAAGCCTAATTACCTCCTGTTCTCAGGCACTATGACATGGGTTTAGCCCATCCCCATGAATATAATAACATTTCTAAGTACAGTGGTACCCCAAGTTTCATACAGCTCCCAACTCGATCAGTTATGTAAGTACGTATATTATTGTAAGTGTATATTTGAGTGTCTGAAATGGACTAATCTAATTTACATTATTCCATATCTGAACAAATTCATTCGGTAATGGCACTCGAACAGCCTTCTGGAACGAATTATGGCCGAAACTCTGGGTACCACTGTACATTGAATACTCTTACTGAACATCAGGCATTGAAGCCTGAAATATTCAGGATATGTAATGATACACATGGGGAAGTGGAATAAGAATCTTTCCTCCGTTAGCCATGCGTGCTGTAAAAGTCAACTAAAATGCCGAGAACAATGGACTAGTAACCTCTTTTCCTGTAATAATTACTAAAAAGAATAAGATGATGATAAGAGTAAGGTGATGAGGGTATCAAATGATTTAGATAAAGAAAAATTGGATATCAAATTGGGGAGGAGGAGTATGGAAGAAGTGGACGTTTTCAGATACAGTGGACCCCCGGTATTTGATATTAATCCGTTACTGAGAGCTCATCGAATACCGATAATATCAAAAACCGAATCAATTTTCCTCATAAGAAATAATGGAAATCAAATTAATCCGTGCAAGACACCCAAAAGTATGAAAAAAAAAAATTTTACTACATGGAATATTAAGTTTAATGCAATAGAATAATAACAATAAAATAATTGACACTTACCTTTAATGAAGATCTGGTGATGATTGATGGGATGGGAGGAGGGGAGAGGTGTTAGTGTTTAGAAGGGGAATCCCCTTCCATTAGGACTTGAGGTAGCAAGTCCTTTTCCGGGGTTACTTCCCTTCTTCTTTTAATGCCACTAGGACCAGCTTCAGAGTCACTGGATTTCTGTTGCACAATATATCTGTCCATAGTGGCCTGTACCTCCCGTTCCTTTATGACATCCCGAAAGTGTTTCACAACATTGTTAGTGTAATAGTCACCAGCACGGCTTGCAATAGCTGTGTTAGGATGATTGTCATCAAAAAAGGTTTGCACTTTAAGCCACATTGCACACATTTCCTTAATCTTTGAAGTAGGCAACTTCTTCAATTTCTCTGTCCCCTCCTCCGAAACAGTTTCCTCAGGTCTGCCCTCTTGCTGTTCAAGATGATCTATCAGCTCATCAGTGGTTAGTTCTTCACTGTCCTCCACCAACTCTTCCACATCTTCCCCACTAACCTCCAACCCCAAGGACTTCCACAATGCCACAATGGATTCCTCAACTGGCATAGGATTCTCAGGGTTAGCCTCAAATCCTTCAAAATCCCTTTTGTCTACACATTCTGGCCACAGTTTTTTCCAAGCAGAGTTCAAGGTCCTCTTAGTCACTCCCTCCCAAGCCGTACCTATCAGGTTTATACAATTGAGGATATTAAAGTGATCCTTCCAAAACTCTTTTCGAGTCGAGTTTCTGTGGTCACTATAAAGCACTTTTGAAACATAGCTTTTGTGTACAGTTTCTTGAAGTTGGAAATGACCTGCTGGTCCATGGGCTACAGGAGAGGAGTGGTATTAGGAGGCAAAAACTTGACCTTAATGAAGCTCATGTCCCCACAAAGTCGCTCTGCCAAGTCTGTAGGATGACCAGGGGCATTGTCTAATACCAGGAGGCACTTAAGGTCTAATTTCTTTTCAGTTAGGTAATTTTTCACAGTGGGGGCAAATGCATGGTGTAACCTGTCATAGAAAGAGTCCCTAGTGACCCATGCCTTACTGTTTGCCCTCCACAGCACACACAAATTAGCCTTGAGGACATTGTTTTTCCTGAACACTCTGGGAGTTTCAGAGTGATACACCAATAAAGGCTTCACTTTGCAACCACCACTAGCATTGGCACACATCAACAGAGTAAGCCTGTCTTTCATAGGCTTATGTCCTGGGAGTGCCTTTTCCTCCTGAGTAATGTAGGTCCTGCTTGGCATTTTCTTCCAAAACAGGCCTGTTTCGTCGCAATTAAACACTTGTTCAGGTTTCAGTCCTTCACTGTCTATGTAATCCTTGAATTCCTTCACATATTTTTCAGCTGCTTTTTGGTCCGAACTGGCAGCCTCACCATGCCTAATCACACTATGTATGCCACTACGATTCTTAAATCTTTCAAACCAACCTTTGCTGGCCTTAAATTCACTCACATCACCACTATTTGCAGGCAATCTCTTGACCAAATCGTCATGCAACTGCCTAGCCTTTTCACAAATGATAGCTTGAGAGATGCTATCTCCTGCTATCTATTTTTCATTTATCCACACCAATAACAATCTCTCAGCATTTTCTAACACTTGCAGTCGCTGTTTCATAATCACAGTTGCACCTTTTGCAAGAACAGCTTCCTTGATTGCCGTTTTCCTGGTCACTATAGTAGAGACGGTTGATTGGGGTTTATTATACAACCTAACCAGCTCAGACACACGCACTCCACTTTTGTACTTTGCAATTATCTCTTTCTTCATTTCATAAGTCATTAGCGACTTTTTTCTTGAAGGGTTGGCACTAGAAGCTTTCTTGGGGCCCATGGTGACTTATTTTGCAGAAACAAGCACCAAACAGTGATAATATGGATAATATGGAATGTACCGAATGTATCCTTAGATGCCCACATACTGGCTGGCTTGTAAACACTGGCACACAAGGGGCAGTTCAGGCCACACGTGGACACGTCTTGTATGAATCGTATCGAATACCGGGTTTTCAATTGAATACCGAGGAAAATTTTTTGCGATATAATGTATCGAATGCCGATGCCATCGAATACCGGGGGTCCACTGTATTTGGAAGTTGACGTGTCGGCAGATGGATTTAGGAAGGATGAGGTTAATCGTAGAATTGATGAAGGAAAAAAGGTGAGTGGTGTGTTGAGGTATATGTGGAGACAAAAAACGTTATCTGTGGAGGCAAAGAAGGGAATGTATGAAAGTATAGTAGTACCAACACTTTTATATGGGTGTGAAGCTTGGGTTGTGATGCAGCAGCGAGGAGGTGGTTGGAGGTAGTGGAGATGTCCTGTCTAAGGGCAATGTGTGGTGTAAATATTATGCAGAAAATTCGAGTGTGGAAATTAGGAGAAAGTGTGGAGTTAATAAAAGTATTAGTCAGAGGGCTGAAGAGGGGTTGTGAGGTGGTTTGGTCATTTAGAGAGAATGGATCAAAGTAGAATGACATGAAGAGCGTATAAATCTGTAGGGGAAGGAAGGCAGGGTAAGGGTCGTCCTCAAAAAGGTTGGAAGGAAGGGGTAAAGGTGGTTTTGTGGGCGAGGGGCTTGGACTTCCAGCAAGCGTGCGTGAGCATGTTCGATAGGAGTAAATGGAGAAGAATGGTATTTGGGACCTGACGATCTGTTGGAGTGTGAGCAGGGTAATATTTAGTGAAGGGATTCAGGGAAACCGGTTATTTTTTATATAGCCGGACTTGAGTCCTGGAAAGGGAAAGCACAGTGCTTGCACTCTAAAGGAGGGACTTGGGATATTGGCGGTTTGGAGGGATATGTTGCGTATCTTTATACGCACAGTGGACCCCCACCTTACGATATTAATCTGTTCCTGAGAGCTCATCGTATGCCGAAATTATCGTAAGGTGAATTAATTTTCCCCATAAGAAATAATGGAAATCAAATTAATCCGTGCAAGACACCACAAAGTATGAAAAAAAAAAATTTTTAGCATATGAAATATTAATTTTAATACACACAAACTTACACTTACCTTTATTGAAGATCTGGTGATGATTGATGGGATGGGAGGAGGGGAGAGTATGGAAGTTGTTAATGTTTAGAAGGGGAATCTCTTTCCATTAGGACTTTAGGTAGCACGTCCTTTTCCGGGGTTACTTCCCTTCTTCTTTTAATGCCACTAGGACCAGCTGACCATGGTGCAGCAACAGCTGGCCGTGGTGCAGCAACAGCTGGCCGTGGTGCAGCAACAGCTGGCCGTGGTGCAGCAACAGCTGGCCGTGGTGCAGCAACAGCTGACTTTGGTGCAGCAGCAGCTGACTGTGGTGCAGCAACAAATGATGGTGGTGTAGCAGCAGCTGACTGTGGTGCAGCAGCAGCTGACTGTGGTGCAACAGCAGCTCACCGTGGTTCAGCAACAGCTGACTGGTGCAGCAACAGCTGACTGGTGCAGCAACAGCTGACTAGTGCAGCAACAGCTGACTAGTGCAGCAACAGCTGACTAGTGCAGCAACAGCTGACTGGTGCAGCAACAGCTGACTGGCGCAGCAACAACTGACCGTGGTGCAGGAACAGCAGACCATGGTGCAGCAACAGCGGACTGTGGTGCAGCAGCAACAGCGGACTGTGGTGCAGCAGCAGCAGCTGACTGTGGTACGATAGTACATGTTTCTCACCCTTTTTTTCACAGGGTTGGCACTAGAAGCTTTCTTTGGGCCCATGGTGGCTTATTTAGCAGTTACAAACACTATAAACAATGGAATAATACAAAATGTATTGAATGTATGCATGCAACCGGCCACCCTGGCTCGTAAACAATGAGGGCAGGGCAGCTGTGGCACTCAGGCTGGCTGGACAGGTTCGGGACGAGTCATGTTGGTCAGAAACAGCTGATGGTAGTGCAGCAGCAGCTGACTGTGGTGCA